TAGCAGTGCCCAAGGAACAAGGACCACTGGAGGAGAAGAAATGAGAACCAGGCAGGACAGGATGTCTGCAGGCAGGAGACTCTCCAAGCTCAAGATCCCAAGTGTCACCTGGGAGATGACAAGGCTCAGGAGAGCTGACGTGAACTGGAAGTAAAACTCCCTAGAAAAGATCAAGTGAAGGGTTGGCAAGGTTTGGAGGCTGAAAGAGCCAACAACTTAGAGATGATGTTTAGCACTTTAATATTTAAACCTATGTCACTGCCTAAGGACAATGCTGAAATAAATATGCAGGCAAGACAAACAAGGAGACTACGTGGTGTTCAAAACCAGTGCTGAATAAGAACACCATGTTGATGCAGTCAGAGTTAGTGTGCTCCCCCAACAGCAGCAGGGTGGTCAGAGTTTCCCTGTAACTAAACACTTAAGTCCCTTACTTCTGAGGACTTGCTGCTGACAAGTAATAGGAAAACCAACCAAAAGTGTGGTCAGAACTAGCACTCTTAATGTTCTGCAAATTAACTGCTCAGGAATTTCTGATTTTCCTGTGTATCCTCATATCCTTTTATTCTCTTCAACTATTCCAAAAGCTGTTTTTATCTAACAATACTACTGTACTTCATGTTTTCCTAGGTCATCCATTCTTTATTTTAAAAGAAATGAGAAATATTTGTTGCACCCTAAATATTAACATAGACAGTTATAAGCTATAAAATATATTTGATTTTTGGGTAAAAGAGAAAATTACTTTAAAGAAAGAATTATAGCCTGGTTGATTGTCAACCCATGAACCAGGAGATCGTGGTTCGATTCCCAGTCAGGGCACATGCCCGGGCTGTGGGTTCGACCCCCAGTAGGGGGCTTGCAGGAGGCAGCCGATCAATGACTCATCCTTGATATTTCTATCTCTCTCCCTCTCCCTTCCTCTGTCTGAAATCAATAATATATATATATATATACACATATATATATAAAGAATTACATATATATGTATATATTTTAAATGTTAAGAAGAATTTTTTTCTTCTCAAGCCAGGGGATAAATGAATTAACAGCTAGAAATACTGCCTATCAATCAATTTATTTGGTGAAGTGGTTCAGAAGCATTTCCAGACAATGGGAGACCTTTGACAGTAAAGGTCTTCCATTTTACAGGAAAGAAATGAGACGGGAAGCTGATAGACGTATCATTCAATTATGAGTATATATTATTAACAGTCCGTGAATGGAAGTGGCTTACATTAAATACCCAAACTCCAAAAGCTTACAAGCTGGGAACATATTACTCAGCAGTAGATAAAGCAATGTGGGCCTTGAGCTGTGCCACCAGCCCCATGTGACTGCTGAGTACCTGAAATGAGGTCAGTCCAATTGACATGTGCTGTAAGTATAAAATACACACCAGACTTCAGAGTTACTATAGGGGGGAAAGTTAAATATTTCATTAATAATTTTATATTGATTACTCGAAGTGATGTTTTACTAGGTTATTACATTTATTACTAAAAATTCATTTTATCTGCTTTTTACCATATTTAATATAGCTAGCTGCTAGAAAATTACATATGTGGAATAAACCATCGCAGCACAGGATGTCTGATCCAATACAGAGCAGCCCGAACAAGCAGTCTCTAGACAAACCGCCCCGTCCAGCACACCCCGCGCCTCCTGCCCTATTGCTAGAGCAGGCACAGGGACCAACGTATCATCCCTAGGTGTCCCAGGACAAGAAGTGGCTATGGAGGAAGTTGCTACAGAAGAATTTGTTATATGAGTGGCAAGGACAAAAAGGAAGAGAAGTGGTGAAATTAATGACAGTGGATCAAACGATGAAGCAAGCGACCTTGACACTGATTCAAAGACGTCCAGGAAGCAACTGGCGGAGATCGACGTTTTACAAGTAACGCTGGGTAACTTGGCCAAGCTTACTGATGTCAAATTGCAGCTACTGGAAGCAAAGGTAGACAAGCTACAGGCAAATGTTTCAGTCATGCATTCAAGAGGTATGCAAGGAACTCCTCCTGCTGGAATCTTCTATCCAAGTGTTGTTCCAGATAGAAGCAATCCTCCTGCATCCTCTGCTCCAACATCTGACACCGAGAGCAATTTCTATGCTATGTGGAAAGGCTGGTGATTACAGAAAGGTCACAACAGCTCGGACATAAGAGAGGAGAAATACTACTGCACATTGTCCTTCTGTGAACCATATTGTAACATTAGTGAATGGAGCTGCCAGATGCTGCATCCTGTACCACATGCAGATTTCATATCCAACCTGAACAAACCACTGCTTCTTGCCCAGGACTGTCACATGGGTCTGCTGTCTAGCCTTTGGTGGAGGATTTTAGTAATGACCAACAACAAGAACAAAAGAAAAAGAAAATTACATATGTGATTCCCATTACAATTGTATTGGACAGTGCTGGTCCAAAAATAGTGGCTATTGGGAAAAGAGAAAAGTAAATGCTACTTCAGTGTATACAACCATGGTAATCATGATCAGACTCCATCCAAAGAACATGTTCTGATACTGTGGCTTCACAAACACACATAAAACACAGACATGGCCATATATCTTAATCCAAACATCAAAACAAACCCTACATTACTATCCCACACAAGCGGCTGTGCAGCCTGCCCTCTGATGGAGGGGAGCAGGTGCCATAACCTGATTTCTCACATCACAGAACTGAGAGGAGGAGGGAGGGAGCCAGATCTGAGGAAGGCCAAAGTAAAACTCCACGTGCTAACAAACACACACTGAAAGGTCATAAAGGGAGTTGGAGCTCTTCTCTGGAAGCTCAAATCCAGCACAGAGAAAACTAAATAAAACAGAGTCCATCCAAGGGTAAACACTACTCAGATCCAGAGGGCCTTTATAACTACCAAATTGCAGGCTCTGGTTCTGTAGGCAAACCTAAAACAAAGTAGCACCTGTACATAAAAAGAATTATCATAGAAGCAATAGGATAAATTTATTGATGAGATTTTCCCATACCAAACAGAAAGTCAGCAAACAACTCAGACAATTTATAAACATCTGATCTTAATCTAACACTAACACACTGATTTTAAAACATATCAAAAAATAAAAATAAATAAAACATATCAAAAAATTAAAAAAATTTAAAAAACTTATCCAACTGAAAAGGCTGGAGTTGTTCTAATATGCTTGGAATGCTTTCACAGTAACCGTTACACAACGCTTCCTTTCCTACCTTCTTATATAAGCTCTGTAATCATGAGTGTTTACATAGGGTTTTGAAACCCAAGTTTTCCTGTAAATATTTAATTCTCTTGTTGCTACTGATCCAACTATAAACAGAGCATTTTATAACATGTTTAGTAATAAGAAAGTGGGGCACTGACATCACCAGCACACAGTCTACAAACCAAAAGCACCAGAATCACCGGACAGCCTCTCAGAAATCAGCTGCTAATAAAACAGAAATTTCTCCTCACTCCTCCAAGTTTTTTATCCAGTTTATATCTGAATTCCTCTGCATCTGTGGACCAACTTCTAAAATGAGCCTGAATCAGAACCAGGCACCCTGGTCTGCAGGCTCCAGGCACTGGGCAGAGCTGGTATTCTCAGGTATGAACACGCAGGCAGTGAACTATCGTCTGTATGCCCTTGATAACAAAGATGAAAGGTACTAACTAGCAAGCCTTCTGTCTTCTGTTTAGTAAGAGCTTAATATGTTGGAACCTGTACCGACAGTGTCAAAGAAAATGGAATAAAGCAATCATTCGGCCAGTTTCCTGCACTACCGCAATAGTTAGAACAATGAGGTGGAAATGGCATACACGTGAAGCAATTTACCATCTAACTGGACAGACTGGGACAACTAGTGCATTACATGATCATTATCGAGCTGTGCACGAGGGCGCAGAGAAAATGCAACCCAACAGGGCTTGAAATGACTTTGGGGAAGTAAAGCCAAGGTCACGCTCAAAGGATGGAGAGTCCCAAGAGGGAGGCCACCATGGAGTCCAGAGGGAGGCAGGAGCATGGCCTGTCTTTAGGACATGAAAGCAACCTACTCACAGCAGACTGTGGGAGGTGGAGGAAGGAAAACCCCTTGCAGGGTCAAAAGACTCTCAAAATTCCAATGTAAATACAACACAACTTTAGGAAACCTGAGTTTCTGGGCAGATGAAGAGAACAGAAAGAGTCTACTGCTGGAAAACCTTAAAATGGAAGATCAAGAAGCTAGTATGTTAACCCAAGTACAAGAATCTTGGCAACTGGGATGATGGAGGCAACAAAGAAAAAGGGAGGGACAAAGGGAGCGATGTGAAAGAAAAAAACAAATCAAAAACTTGGTGTCAGCTCCGGCTGGTGTTGCTCAGTGGTTAGAGCATTGGCCTGCAGGCTAAAGGGCCCAGGTTGGATTCCGGCCAACGGCACGGACCCCCATTGCAGTCTCGATTCCCGGCTCTGGTTGGGGCGTGTGCAGGAGGCAACCAATTGCTGTGTCTCTCTCACACCAATGTTTCTCTCTCTCTCCCTCTCTCCCTTCTACTCTCTCTGAAAAGCAATGGAAAAAATATCCTCAGGTGAGGATTGGGGGAAAAAAATTGTAGAATGGTTGAGAAAGAGTCAGGGAACTGGTCTTAAATGTCTTTACACCCAGGGTTTGTACCTGTTACCCTGTCCAGGAGCACCAACAGCATAGGTACTCAAATGTTTGCTGACCAAAAAAAAAAAACTCAAAAGCATGTAAAATGAAAATATTTACCTCCTACCTTGTAATTAGTGTAAGTGGCAAGACTGTGCCTGTTAATTTTCTAGTTTAATCTATGTGGAATGTGACCTAAAGAATCCATGACTTTATCATTAGCATTAACCTAACAATTATTCCCAGCACTGAGTTTAGACCATTGCTGACATGCAAAGGGCAAGGTTAAGCACAAATGAGCTCTAACACTTCAAGGCTACAAGCTGTCGGCACAACTCTATCGTGAAACACAGAACAAGAAGGATTGTATTTCAGACGCACCTAAATGCCAGGACGTGGACCTGTCCATATGCTTTCCATTACACACCACTGAGCTCCATTTCCTTGTGCTGTTGAGGTCCAAGCTCGAAACCAGACAGGGAGTCCCGATTAGCGGAGTCAAGACCTAGCTGGAAAAAAACAAGTGGTAAATAAAAAGCAATAATAAACCTAGCAGGAGGCACATTGCATGAATGGCATCTACTTCTCACTCCTAGAACTCGTTCTGTTGCTTCCTCACTTCTAAGGAACATCTCCAAGTCCCAGTCCATCCCTGGGCAGGATCACAGACTGCACCTTTGGTCCCTTAAAAAATCAACTCTCCATTTGCACAAAATATTTTGGAAAATGGTATTTCAGAACACCTGGTAAAAGCAATTTTGCACTCAGTTGAGCTTTCTTCCTTGACAATTTTTTTTCCCTTTAATCCTCACCTGCAGATATTTTCATTGATTTTTAGAGAGATAGGAAGAGAAAAAGGGAGAAAGAGAGAGAAACATAGATCAGTTGCCTCCTGCACATGCCTGGGCTGGGGGCAGAACTCGAAACCTAGGTATGTGCCCTGACCGGGAATCAAACGCAAAACCTTTCAGTGTACGGGATGGGACGATGCTCCTACCAACTGAGCCACATGGCCCAGGGCATCTTCCTTGACAATTTTTTAATTCCATATTCTCTAGCACAGGACCTTGATTTTAAAACAACAAACACTTTTTAAGGATTTCTTTCCACAACCCTTGGGAACCACTGGATTCACACTTTATAGGTAAGAAACCCAAGCAGGATAGGGCCTTCTGGTCAAGGTACTGGAGCTTGTAAGAGATGTAACAGTGCAGAGGTCAGAGCCCATCAGGACTATGACAGCAGAGCCCTTGCCTCTAATTTTAACTCTACATTGCCTCCAACGCCGCCACTAGAATGAACTAAAGGTACTGCATTTGAGGGAAAAGCAAAGATTTAATTATTCAAAAATCACCTTCTTTCTAAGCCTCTTAAAAATGTATTAATACAATGGGGCGTGCTTTCCATAAAAGCTGGGTCACATTCTACTTAAGCTGGGTTATCACTAGGTACACATGCTCATTTTATTGTTTATTAAATGAATGTATTTTATATACACTTTCACTTATGCATATATTTTACAATTAAAACAAAACAAAACCCAGAGCCCTGGCCAGGTGGCTCTGTTGCTTGGAGCATGGTCCTGTACACAAAAAGGTGGCAGGTTCAATTCCTGGCCAGGGCATATACCCAGGTTTCAGGTTTGATTCCTGGTAGGGGTCTGTGCAGAGGCAACAGATCCATGTTTCTCTCTCTCACTCTCAAATAAATAAAAAAATAAGAAAACTGCACGAGGTAATGACAGTTTAGCCAGATATCAATACATTTCTCATTAGAAAATACTTATGCTGTGAATCTTTCACCTCCACTGTTTGTTTTGGGCGAGTGAGCATCACCATTCAACGATGGCGCCGAGGTCAGTAAGCACATAAATGCCATCAGACTTGTAGCAGTTCAGCCTTCAATGAACCGGCAGTGATCCTGTATATTTTTTAATTTCAGACACTAAACATCGTTCTTTTGCTGTTCGGGACAAAAAATATTACTACTCATTTTGAGTGATTAGAATATGAATGGAGAAATTTTGTTTTTCTAAAACATACTTTTGCATTTGAGGCAAAAAAAAAAGGTACTTTATCTCCCAAAATAAAATCTTCATAACCATCAATTTATTTTAAGCGATGTTTATTAAAACTTTAGAATCAGAAGGGAGGCACAAAGGCAACATCCGTTAGTGAGGATTAGGAATAATGGAAAGAACACGAAAAAAAGAACGCAAAGCTTTGAAAGAACAGCTTATTTTCCGTTAAACTCTAATCATACACATTGTTTTTTCAGAAATATAAGTTGCACAACATGCATAGTATAATCCAACTTTTATTAAAAGTATAATTACATACTACATATTTGTGGACATAGAAAAGGGTTAGAAAGGATAAACATCCAACCGCCTTAAAATCTAGGGGGTATAAGAGGTGGTGTGACTTCTGAAATTTGCTTTATAGGATTCTGACAAGTTAGAATTATTTTCCAACATGTGTATGCTTCCTTTGTAAATCCTTTAAAGAGCTAATGAAATGTTAATTTTTTTAAAGGTTCCATGAGGGCAAAGCTGCAAATTAACCAAATTTCATTTTAGCTACAAATCACAGAAAAATTCTGAAAGGATAAAAGAAAGTCATGGACCCCCATGAAGATGTATTTTTGGAAAATACTTTTTAAAGCTGATCGGTAAGATGAGTATTTGGAAGAACTGGCTTTCTAACTCCACTGAACAACTATCATACACCAAAATACAGAATTGGGTCAGAAGTTCTAATATTGGAAAAACACAAATGTATTTTTGGGAAAAGAATTAAGCAGGAAGGGTCACTCAATAATAACAAACCTGAGTTATCAGTGAGCATCCTTGAACTTTGGTCACAGCGCCACTGGAACACCCCTCCCCTTCATACATTCCAACACACTCAGGAAATGTGAAAACCTGCCCTTCGCACACAAGGCTACTGGGCTGAGATCAAAGCCCAGGCCCCGAGAGCAAGTAAGGGGAAACTTCACGTGGAGCACAATGATGCACCACCTGACTTTCCCCCAAGGTCACTCCAGAACTTATAAAAAACTGTTCACCGTGCTTCTGTTGTTTGTTAATTGGGGTTTTCAAAAGTACTATGTGCGGTGGTTCCAAAATTTTGATTTTATAAAGAAAAGAAAAAACATTAACTAAAAAATTTGGGTGAATTTTAGAATTAAAAAAAATTTTTAAATATATAGAATTGTTGTCTTTGTATTTTACCATTTCCTTAAAAAGGGACATTAACACTTCAGAAGGAGGAAGGATTTACTCCCAGGGCCAATACCATCCACAGGCCAGAAACTCTGAGCAGCCAAGTCATTATATCAACTCAGTAGATTCCAAAAAAGCTAACAACACCTACTCCTGATTTTTAAAACAAAAACCTTCCAATAAAAATTAAAATGATTCTTGCTGAGTATCACAAAGAACATCTGAAAACAAGGGCAAATACAACTGCTACATACTCAGCATGCTTTTACATTTAGTTTGCACTTTTGTCTTTTTTTCTTATTTTAGTTTGTACATTTTTAAAATGTATTTTTATTGACTTCAGAGAGAGGAAGGGAGAGGGAGAGAGACAGACAGAAACATCAATGATGAGAGAGTCATAGATCGGCTGCCTCCTGCACACCCCCTACTGGGGATCAAGCCCGCAACCCGGGCATATGCCCTGCCCAGGAATCGAACCATGACCTCCTGGTTCACAGGTCAACCCTCAACCACTGAGCCACGCCGGCTGGGCTAGTTTGTAGTTTTAAAAGGACTTGCAAAAGAAGCACATGAATGTACCTGAAAATGTTGGTAAAATGGGCAATTTTTAAGGAAAACTATTCTTTGAAAACCTGAACAAACAACAACATACAAATAGACAAAATTATAAAAGCAAAGAACTATGCTCAAAAAAGGTACAGGCTCAGACAAACTCACAGTCCAAGTTATTCCCTAACCATTCCGGTAGAAAAGGGAAACAGGAAACCTTCCCTATTCCTCCTGGTAAAACTGACAAATTAACAAAGAAAGCCCAAGAGAAGAAAACTGTATGTTAACCTCACTTGCCATTTCTAGATTATTTTTTTTAACTTTTGTGAATTTGACATGTAAAGAATGATATTTGGTTTCAATCTTGATTTCTTTGATCCATATAACTATAGTTCTCATGAACTGTATGCACCTTTTCTCCATTTTTCAGTAGGTATGGTTTTTTCTTGTATGGTTTGTAAGAGCTCCTTGTAAATTAAAGACATTAACCTTGTGCGGTGCTACAAACATTTTCACCAGAAAAAGCAAATGCTTTTGCCATTCTGTTTATAAAGGATACTTTTTAAGAATCTCTCTGATGTTAAATCTAAAGTATCTTTTTGTAATTTCTTCTATCACTTTTGTGCTTTCAAAGCCCCTCCCTATTCCAAGATCAGAGAAATATTCACCATCATTTTCAGCTCGATGTATTTGGTCAAAATCATTTAAAAATTATTAGTAGCCATCCTTTTTAATATGCATATCCAATAAAATCTTTGCTTTAATAAAATAGATGAGTATAATTATATTCACCTTAGTTGTAGAACAAGTAAGTGTCCAATATTTGAGGACTAGCTAAATTATAACAGTAAAATACTTTATCATAAGATACTACAGCCCAGCCGGACGTGGCTCAGCAGCTGAGCATCGATCTAGGATCCAGGAGATCGTGGTTCAATTCCCGGTCAGGGTACATGCCAGGGTTGTGGGCTCGATCCCCCGTCGGGGGTGTGCAGGAGGCAGCCGATCAATGACGACTCTTTCATTGTTGATGTTTCAACTCTCTCCCTCTCCCTCTCTCTGCGATCAATAAAGATATATTGGAAACAAAAAATACTACAAAGCCATTCTATAGTACACTATCTGGTCACATGGAGAAAGTCATAATCTGTTACCAAGTGGGGAAAAAAAGCTAGAACATCTCCATTTATATAAAAACTACACTTATTTGGCCCAGACAAGCTAGACACCTAAAGATTAAGAGTAATACTGCCCTGGCCAGGTTGCTTGGTTGGTGGAGCATCGTCCCATGCACCAAAAATACTGTGGGTTCAAATCCCAATCAGGGCACATAGCTAGGATACAGGTTTGATCCCCAGTTGGGGCAAGTAAGGGAAGCAACCAACCAATGTTTCTCTCTCACATCAATGTTTCTCTTTCTCTAAAATCAATGAACATATCTTCGGGTGAGGGTTTAAAAAAACCAACAAAGTAATTCTCCCTAGGTGTCAGATTATAGGTGTCTTATTTCTTTCTGTTGTTCTGTTTTATATATTACTAATGAACATGTATTATATTTGTGATCAGAAAAAAAGTTTAGCCCTGGCTGGGTAGCTCAGTCGGTTAGAGCGTTGTCCCAATAGGACAAGGTTGCAGATTAAGTCCCCAATCAGGGCACATATAAGAATCAACCAATGGGGTGGGAAGAGATTAACCAAAGAACTTATATGCATGACCCATAGGCACAGACAAGTGTGG